CCATTCGTCAATAAGGGGTATTAGCTCTATGTTGATATAATTACTTGCCCCTTTTCCGCAATCTTTACCAGAAGCAAATACTAGCATTTGGCACAGTAAGCGCTAATAGGAAGGGCTTCCCTCAAAGGCTGGTGAATATAAGACTACAAAGAGGGAGTTGGGGAGTTTGTGGAACAAACAATTGTTGGCTATGAAGTGGAGGGACAAATGATATATATATATATATATATATATATATATATATATATATATATATGTATGTATATCATCCAACAACACCTCCATGGAAGGAACAGCCCAGTCCACAAACCCAAATGTGTGCTTGAGTACAATGTTCATGGGGGGAGTTGAATATAACAATCAGATGATCCAACCCTATCATGCCACAAGAAGAACCCACCATTGGTAAACAGTCTCCATTTATCTCTTCAATTTGGCTAAATATAATTCCAATGTCATCTACCATAAATCCACTGAGAGACCCGAATCCTTTCTGAGATACCAGGAGGAAATTGTTACTGCTCTTTTGAACCAGGAAGGCTCACTAGAAAGCATTCTCTCAGATGCAGTGAGCAGACTCCATGAACGCCAATTTCCAGATAAACTTAAACATCTTTTACAAAGATGTAAAAATAAATGTCAGGTTTTCCCCAAGGGGGGGGGGGGGGTTAGACGAGACACCATTTATTACTGTCCCCCGTGTCCTCCACAACCAGGCCAACTGCTTCCGCTGTTACCATACATCGCTGCAATATTAGTGAGGTATGGTGAACATAATTCTGACTTCCTGCCGTTTACCTTCACACTCCTCATACCTCTGCATTCTCCTGAACTGACCCAGGCCTGTTATTTGACCATGCCTTTGCTTGCCACCTAAACTGACCATATCTCTGCCTGCACCTTAACTTATCCTGGCCTATTCGACCACACCTCTGCCTTCCTGCTAAACTGACCATACCTCTGCCTTCTCCAGGACCCTAGCCTACTTATTGATGATGCCTCTGCTTGCCACCTGAACTATCGGCCATGTTTGTCCCTTCCGCCTGTAAATTGGCCATGTTTTTTTGCCTTCTGCTTAGACTAATCAAGATAACACAGGGATCTCCAGGTATGTGAGGGGCTCGAGTAGTTTTTCTGAGTGGATAAAACTACGTTTTTGGTTTTCTCTGGGTTTTGTAATTCTCGGATTAGGGGCTGGAGACTGGAAGCTTCGAAGAGTTTTGGGTGGGAAGAAGCCTCTACCCCTGTGTCCAGGTCCTACCTGACCAAGGCTACATGTGCAACACAATTGCTGTTTACGTAACAATGCACGCCCTACACGTGTGTTTACATCCATATGTGTGCACAGGGCAGCTGGGAAGGTTGGGGGCAGTACTATTGCTGCCCGAATCACTTTTTTACTAAATAGACAGGAGCATAGCTAGAGTTATGAGCCTACTTTAACCACTTGAATACCAGGGCATTTCTAAATGTACCTTGGTAAACAAGGGGTAAAGCATAAATAACAGCAAAGCTTTTTTTTTTTATATTTTGATAGTAGTGGGGGGGGATAGAACCAACATCAAGTTTTTGTTGCTGTCTGTGTCCCCATTAGGGTAACTTACTCTTTCTAATTGCCCTGGTCACCAGGGTCAGCAATCAGCACTCCCACTAGAGTTTATGTTCAGCATTTACAAACTGCAGCTAAATGGCACTTTTAAAGCATGCTGAAAGCTGCTCTGTTCACAACCATTGCACAGAACCAGTAAGTATAATACTTTTTGGGTTTTATTTTTTTGCTTCTTTATTATCACTTAATTACTGTTAATTGCTCATATTTAATGTAATTCTAAACCTTTAATTTGTTTTTAGCAACAAACATGTTATACTTACCTGCCCAATGGTTTTGCACAGAGCAGCCCTCATACTCCTCTTCTGGGTTCCAGTGTCAGGCGTTCCTGAACCCCCCTCCCCCCACACTGCTTTCTAAGGGGGATATTCATGCGGGTTCACTCCCTAAACGTGCAGCCTGCATCCATAGACATGGACAGCGGGGCTTTGCCCCATCCCTTACGCCTTCATCATAGGATTTAATTGCAGCAGGAGCCAATGCCCCCTTTGGAGATCCTGGTTGAAACACTCTAAATCATTGAAAAACAACACTGCAAACAGTCGTTATGAGGCCCTAATCAGAAGGAAGAAACTAACTTTGCATAGCCTCCTTGGATGCTGGGATCTGGGAGAGGCTTACCAAGCATCTTATCAAAAGATTTCGCATAAGATATTGTATTAAAGTGGAACTTCACTGCATCTGAGCACCAAAAACCATGCTTTATTTTGCTGAAAAATCACATTACATAGTTACATATATTGGTCTGACTGAAAAAAGACAAAAGTCCATCCAGTTCAAACTAAAAAAAAGTATAATCCTATAGCCACAGTTGATCCAGAGGAAGGCAAAAACCCCCAGAAAATGATCCAATTTGCTCCTGCAGGGGAAGAAATTCCCTTGTGATCCCCCGAGAGGCAATCGGATGTTCCCTGGAAAAACTTTACCTATAAATGTTAGTAACCAGTTATGTTATGTGTATCTAGGAAAGAATCCAGGCTTTTTTTAAAGCAATCCACTGAGCTGCCCAGAACCAACTCTTGAGGGAGTCTATTCCACATTTTCACAGCTCTTACTGTGAAGAAACCTTTCCGTATTTGGAGATTAAATCTCTTTTCCTCCAGATGTAAAGAGTGCCCCCTTGTCCTCTGTGATGACCTCAGGGTGAATAACTCTACACCAAGTTCACTATATGAACCACTGATGTATTTATACCTCATAGCTGATCTCCTCCATACCTCTTATCAGTTTGGTTGCCCTTCTCTGCACTTTCTCCAGTTCCCCAATGTTTGTTTTGTGAATTGGTTCCCAAAACTGAACTGCATATTCCAGATGAGGTATACTAATGATTTGTTTGTACAACAAATTGAATAACATTTCCTGGCATTTCTGGCTGTGGCCTTCCTGAGAGAGGGCAGATGCTTCATGTAGCATCTTGTTCCTGGAATTCATCTGCCCTTAGCTCAGGCATGTAGGCAGGAGGGTGTGCTTAGCTGAGAAAACCCCTCCTATTCTCTTAAAGACCCCTGGGGTGTATGACATAATTTGCCCAGGCATGGAAACCAGGAAGTAACTGGAGAAGTGTGAAAAAAGTTTAAACCCACTAAATATACTTTCCTATTTACTAATATATAAATAATATAATTATAAAAGTCAATGTTACATAAGACTGAGAGGGTGAAGTAGTTCTGCTGTATTCACAATGTAACCTGCATGATGCAATGTACTGTATGTATTGTGACATTTCATGCGCTGGCCTTTATTAGAAACCGCTCTAAACTTGCACAACTTGTAAGATTTATGTAACCTAAAACTAAATTTGTTTTCCCAGCACCAAACTATGATAAGAATCAGTGGCTGGATGAGAAGGAAACGCTTGGTTTGGATTTTCCAAATGTAAGTGACAATGCAAGTAAAAAATTGGGTTTGGGGGCATTACATTAGAAAAACACATGGTTGAGCACTTATTAGGAAAGGGTGGGAATTTATTAAGAGTGGAAACTGCAAAGTGCGAGTTTGCAGTTGTGCTGAATACTTTGATGCAGGACATGGCATGAATTGGTATGCGAAAAGGCAAGTATTGACCCAATAGTTTAGACTAGTCGTTCCTAGCCAGGGGTCAGTGGAACACTATAGTTCCTCCAGAGGTTGCTAGGGATTCCTTGAGCAATGTGTGATTCATGCCTCTTGTTCCCACTGACACCATTGATTTTTTAAGCTATTTGTAAGAGGGGGATTGGATGTACTGATCCTTCTGACCTGCAGTTTTCACTCATCCCCCACATTTGATAGAATAGACTTGTCATGCCTGAATTTGTGACCGGCGTCTTTTAGCTTCAGTTGATAATTACAGTAGAATTCTTTTTAGGATTAAAAAAGTTGTTCTATTGATGCCTATGTTTAGGGAGGGAGAGAGAGGGTTAAAATGGATGTAAACCCAATCGTTAACCGCTCTTATAATCTTTACTGTTGTATTGCCATTTCAAGACTTTTTAAAATAATTTTTAATCCTGTAACTTTACTTTAAAATTAATACCTGGTGATCCTACCATGAATACCCTTGTACAGGCACTTCCTGTTATGGGGTGACAACTCTGATCCACTTGTGCTCCTGTGTTGTCACCTATCAATACATGCTCTTCTGATGGAAACTACAAGCAGCCATGCTGATAAACATTTGGGGGGATTTACTAAAATTGGTGCACACAGGATCTGGTGTAGCTGTGCATAGAATCCAATCAGCTTCTGGGCTATATTGCCAAAGCTTAATTAAACAAGCTGAAGTTAGAAGCTGCTTGGCTGCCATGCACAGCTGCACCAGGTTCTGAGTGCTTCAGTTTTAGTAAATCTTCCCCATTGAGTGAGTATGGTTCACTGTTGTAACTGTCATGAAGCTGGGCCAGCGCAATGATATGCAGCATAAGCTGAGCCTAGCACATGTAGACAGAAAGGGGTAATTTACTAAAACTGGTACACACAGGATCTGGTGCGACTGAGCATAGAAACTAAGCAAACCCATATTCTATCCAAAATGAAAACCCTTACTGTATCCAAAATGGGGGAAAAAAAGGTTTTGCCTATAGTTCTACTGTAAGTGCAAAAAAGAACAAGAAAACAAGTATTTTATGAAAAACTAATGGCAATTATCTGATACACGGTGACCCTGATTTACCAAAGAAATGTTTACCTTGTAAAGTGAATTTTAACTGATATTAGGTGTTGAATATAGGTAATAGTTTTGAGATACAAATGATTACAGCTAAATTTACATTTATTCTTTGCAACCAAAGCTCCAAGCCCAAATGTCCAGCACCAAAAAACTAACATACAAGAAATAATTATACAATGAAGGCTGATTATGACAAAGTTGTTTGAACTGCATAAATAATGGCGAAATTATTCTATTTTACAGCTGCCATATCTTATAGATGGTAATGTTAAGCTTACACAGAGTAACACAATTCTGAGCTACATTGCACGCAAGCATGAATTAGGTGAGTATCAGCTCTAGATTGTTTTGTTTTGTGTTTTCTCTCCTACTGATCTAGGAAGTGGAAGAGGGATTGGGATATCTCCATTAGGAGCAATTTGGAGTCCAGGGAGCCTAACCATGTACATTCATTAGAAAGTTTTAAAAATGAACTGGGTGCATTTCTAAATGCACAAATTACTGTATAATACCATTTATAGGTAATAACATCAGAGATTGTTGACCCAGGAAATATGAGATTACCTTCAAGAGATCAGGAAAGAATGTGCTTCCCTCAGTGGAGCAAATTGGATCATGCTTTTTATAGGGTTTATTTTTTTTTTATATCCTCTGGATCAGTTGTAGGCATAATGAAAAATTGAATGACAGATACTGTAATTTTATTTTCCTAATTTCCAAACCCACCCTGCAGGCCAGAGTACTTGGTGTCATTCTGGACTCCAACCTATCCTTCCAGCCCCAAGTCCAATCTTTAACAAACTCGTGCAGACTCCACCTCCGCAACATCGCCAAAATACGCACGTTCCTAACCCCAGAAACCACTAAACAGCTCATCCACTCCCTCATCATATCACGACTCGACTACTGCAAATCCCTCCTCACTGGCCTGCCCTGCCACTGGCTATCCCCGCTTCAGTCGATCCTGAATACGGCTTCCAGACTCATTCACCTTTCCAACCGCTCCGTTTCCGCCACCCCCCTCTGCCAATCCCTCCACTGGCTTCCGATTGCGCAACAGATCAAATTTAAAATCCTAACACTGACATACAAAGCTGTCCACCATACTGCCCCGAACTACATCACCGACCTAATATCCAAGTACCACCCAGCACGCACACTCCGCTCCTCACAAGACCTCCTTCTCTCTAGTTCCCTGGTCTCCTCCTCCCATGCCCGCCTCCAGGACTTCTCCAGGGTGTCACCCATCCTCTGGAACTCCCTTCCCCAACCCATCAGATTATCACCTACTCTCCTCTCCTTTAGGCGCACCCTGAAAACCCATCTCTTCAGGGAAGCCTACCCCCTGCTAACTTGACCGACCTCCTCCACTCTTCCTACCACTCCATCCCCCACAGCTATCTCCTCCTGTACCACTATCCAGTCCCTTCTAAATTGTAAGCTCGAAAGAGCAGGGCCCTCGATCCCCTCATGTTTTGCATTGTATTGGTATTGTTCTGTCACATGTTCTGTCCCCCTTTGTAATGTACAGCACTGAGTGAACTATTGGCGCTTTATAAATACTGTATAATAATAATAATAATTAGCTCCATGTCAAAACAACTGGATATGGGCTCCCCTCATGCTTCCAGGACCTAACTGATAAATTTGAGTCCACCTACAGCCTTGGTGTTCTGTAACTAGTCCTACCAAGCTGGGTGGGAATTGTGCTGACATGAAGCTCCTCAGGAAAGGAAAATTAAAGTATTTGTCATTCAATTTTCCATTTTACTGACGGCTCAATGTCAGCACAGCTGGGAACAAACTAGCCACACAGGGGAGGAATAATGCTACACACTCCTCAATTCTGGCTGAAAGCAGAAGTCAGGATGCCTCTGCCAAACTCAATTGTCATTAAGACTGCTTCTATACAGTAATGAGCCATGAACGTACTGTATATATTAATACCCATGTAGCTGACTTGCAGATAGTGTCTAGGAACACTCAGCCTGCTGCCACTCACAAGGTCGAGACCCTTCTAGTGGAGAGTGACATGATCCCCCTGGCACAGCCAACTCTTTCAACTTGTAGGCCAAGGAAATGAGCTTCACCAACCAAGAGGCAATAATCTTGTTGGATGCTGTGAAATCATTACATGCTCCACCTGGAATGACAAACAAATGCTCTGACTTCCTGATGCCAGATTTTATCTTGACGTAACATTTTAAAGCTTGGTCCACTCTGGTGGGCTAACTTCTTGTCTTGGTTAGTCCCCAAGAGGGATGTAGGAAGGACAGCCTCTTGTGTGATATGGGCTTTGAAGGCCACTTTAGGCACAAATTCGAGCATTGGCATGAGTACCACTCTGTCCAGGAAGAACATGAGAAAGGGCTATTTAACCACTTTCCTACCAGGCACTTTTACCCCCTTCCTGCCCAGGCCAATTTTCAGCTTTTAGTGCTGTTGCACTTTGAATGACAGTTGCCCGGTCATGCAAATCTGTGCTAGAAGAAATTTTTTTCACACAAAATAGAGATTTCTTTTGGTGGTATTTAATCGCCACTGGGGTTTTTATTTTTTGCACTATAAACAAAAAAGAGCAAAAAAATTTGAAAAAAAAGGTAATTTTTCTCCTTCACTGATGTGCCTTGATGATGCTGCACTGATGAGGTGGCACGTATAGGCAGCACTGATAGGCTGCACTGATGAGGTGGCACTGGTGGGCATTGATGGTGCTGCACTGATATGCAGCAACGATGAGCACTGACAGGCACTGGGTGCAACTGCTGGGCAGCACTGATGGGTGGCACTGATGGTCGCTGGTGGGTGGCACTGCTGGGCACTGATCATCAGGGCAGATCTGCTCTGTGACATTTGCCGGTTATTGGCAGTACTTTCCTCATGCTGTAACAGCGTGAGGAAAGTGCTGCTGATAACCGTCAACTGTATTTACTTTGTGATCTGCTGTGCCATTGGACACAGGTGATCACGTGGTAAAAGGCTGCTGTGATTGGCCTTTTACTTAATCATGTGATCAGCTGTGTCGTTAAAACCCCAAGGCAGCTAATACAGACACTCTTCTGGCTGATGTACTTGCCATCAGGAAAGAAGTTTTCAGCAAGAGGTACCACAAGGGGCCACATTGATTGCAGGCATCTGATGCAAAAAAAGTCCAACACCAATGAGAGATCCCACTTCTAGAACAACAATCACTTAGGAAGGCTTCAACCAAATTGCAGCTTGGAGAACAATATAATTAAGAGACGGGTGCCCACTGTATGCCGGTGAAGGCAGAGATGCACTATATTGCCATAAATGTATTGGGACACCTGCCTTTACATGCACATGAACTTTATTGGCATCCCAGTGTTAGTCTGTACAGTTCAATATTGAGTTGGCCCACCCTTTGCAGTATAACAACTTCAGCTCTTCTGGAAAGGCTGTCCACAAGGAATGTTTTACCATTTTTCCAGAAGCGCATTTGTGAGATCAGGCACTGATGTCGGACGAGAAGGCCTGGCTCGCAGTCTACGCTCTAATTCACCCCAAAGGTGTTCTGTCTAGTTGAGGTCAAGACTCTGTGCAGGCCAGTCAAGTTCCTCCATTCCAAACTCGCTCATCCATGTCTTTATAGACCTTGCTTTGTGCACTGGTGTGCAGTCATGTTGGAACAGGAAGGGGCCATCCCAACCGTTCCCACAAAGTTGGGAGCATGAAATTGTCCAAAATGTCTTGGTATGCTGATGCCTTAAGAGTTCCCTTCACTGGAAATAAGGGGCCAAGCCCAACCCCTGAAAAATAACCCCACACCATAATCCCCCCCTCTACCAAACTTTACACTTGGCACATTGCAGTCAGGTAAGTACCATTCTCCTGGCAACCGCCAAACCCAGACACATCCATCAGATGGCCAGACATAGAAGCGTGGTTCGTCACTCCAGAGAATACGTCTACACTGCTCTTGAGTCCAGTGGTGGAGTGCATTACACCATTGCAGCTGACGCTTTGCATTGCACTTGGTGATGTAAGGCTTGGATGCAGCTGCTCGGCCATGGAAACCCATTCAACCTATGCACTGTTGTGCTAATCTGAACTTTGGAGATCTTTAGCTATTGACTTCTGCAGAAAATTGGTGACTTCTGCACACTGTGCACTTCAGCATGCGCTGTACCCACTCTGTCATTTGTTCCCAGTTGTTTCCACTTTGTTATAATACCATTAACAGTTGACCATGGAATATTTATTAGCAACGACATTTCACGGATGGACTTATTGCACAGGTGGCAACTTATCACGGTGCCACACTTGTATTCACTGAGCTCCTGAGAGCAACCCGTTCTTTCACAAATGTTTTTAGAAGCATCTGCATGCCTAGGTGCCTAATTTTATACACATGTGGCCATGGGGGTGATTGGAACATTGAATCCAATGATTTGGAGGGGTGTCCTAATTCTTTTGGCAGAAACTTCAGAACATAACAGACTTGTGAAGAGCCCAGTGTAAAACCTTGATCAGCAGCAGTCTTGTGAATGTATGCCATATTCCACACTATGGGAATTATTAGTGCTGTCCTTCCTTGATTTCAAAAGAGTATTCACACCTGAGATCTATTAGCCTCTACCTCTCAAGACCCAGGCCATCAGCTTGAGCCTGTCAGGTGCTGGATGAATAGGACTTTGGAGATGATTTGATCTTTCCAGCAAAGGGAGGGGATCCTTGATGCTCATTAGAAGTAGCAAAGGGTACCAAGGCCCCTTCAGCCAATCTGGGATCATCACCTGAATTTCCACCTTCCCCCACCACAGCCTCAGCAGGAAGCTGAGAATCAGAGATAGTGGCAAAAAGACATAAGCTGTCTTGGGAATCCACTCTGCGATCAGCACCTCCATCCAGATTGCCTACGCATCCAGGACCCTGGAATAGAACTTCAGCAACTTGGTGTTGACTAGGGATGTGAACTGTGAACAGGCCTACTTCTGGAAGAAATTACAAAGCTCTGTTAGTTCTCCAAAGACTTGCAGCAGTCTGGACTATTCGTTGCCTTCCAGGATTGTCCTGGACAAATAGTTCACCTAAAAAACTCTTCCGGCACACAGGCTGCAGATAGCTGCAGCAGATTGACTTGGACAGACTCTAGATTTGAAAAAACCTCCTTCAGGAGGGACAGACTGTGAGTGCCCCATTGTTTCTGGATGTAGGCCAGTCGTTGTGTTGTCTAACTTCACCAGGACAGGTCCACCTCAAATGAAGTGACCCATGGCTAGGAGAGCCTGAAATGCCACTCTCAGCTTCAGGATGTTGGACACCATCTTGGATCCTTGAAGAATGCCATTGGCACTGAGCCCG